CAAATGAAATAGTGAGCAAGTTGAATATCTTTCCATGCTGTGACAATTAAACATACAAAAGAAGTACTATGAATTTTTTTTTTTGGTTTTGTTTTTTTTTTTGAGACATGGTCTCACTATGTAGTTGAGACTGACCTGGAACTCACTATGTAGTCCAGACTGGTCTCGAACTCACAGCAATCCTCCTGCCTCAGCCTCCCGAGTGCTGGGATTACAGGCAAGCGCCACCATGCCCCGCTATATATTCATATATATATGAATGATAGATAAAGAAGCTAGGAATATAAGGAGCAAAGAGGGAAGGAGCTAAAGAGGAAGGGAAAGGAAGGAAGTAGGTGTGCAGTAAAAAAGAGAGAAAAGAGGAGGGAGAGGGGATAGGGAGAAACAAAGGAGACAGCTAAGGAGAGGACAAAGATCAAAATGTTCCCTGTCAAGTTGAAACGGGGAAAGGCTCAGCATATGGCTCAAAGGGCCAGTTTATAGCCAGCACCAGAAGTCATGTTAAGACATCTGAACTTCACCTTGTCTGCACTGGAGAGCCCAGGAATGCATGATGCCATTCCCATTTTAGTAGCTCCACCTTGGAGATGGGGAGTAATGGAAGAATGTACTGGCCAGGACCGGCAAACACAGGAATACCAGCAAGGTGGTGGATGCAGCAAGCCAGAAAGGAGATCACGCTGCCCTGACGGCGCAGAGGAGCAGACGTGAAATACTTTTGAGGGACAGAAACACAGGATTGAGTGGTTGAGTAGAGGTGGGGAACAAAGAAGGGGCGGACCATGGTTGGCTCTGGACTGATGGCTGCATGAAGATTCATAGCGATGATGTAGGGGACAGAAGAGCTGGGTGGGGCTGAAGGAGCTGAAGCGGTAAATGAGATGTGAGAATACCATGCATTTAACTGTAGGCCGCTGATGAGGGGTTCACTGCAATACTTACTAAACAGAATCCTGCAGCAGGCAGAGTCCAAGGACCGGGCTGGGGACATAAAGGGGCCACTGGCAGTGTCACGACATCTAAGATGAGTGACGTGGAGGAGGTGGGAGGGAAGCAGGCCAGGCTGGGGACACCGGAGGACAGTGCTCAGCATAATATCCTCCAGGATGGGCCTAGAGTGAAGGCACTGCAGGGCAAAGGAGGCATTACGGCAGAGAGTAGGGAGAGACACAGAGATGTTGAGAGCCATCAAGTGGAGAGTTAAAGGTGTTTCTCACACGTGACAGGACAGTCGAGAACGGAGGAGTCTGCTTGGAAATCAAAACATGCCAAGAGTTCTGTGACAGGACGTCATGCTGACTATGAATAGGTGTGTGTGGGGTGAAGGCCAGGAAACTGGGGTGACGATGAAAATACGGGAAGTGACAGGAGAGCAGAGGAACAGAGGGAACCTATAAGAGGGGACTAAGGAAGTTTTTGTTTTTCTCATTGGGTTTATTGGCACATTTGACGTATACAGTACAGTTACATTCATCATTGAGAGCTTGTACCTTTATGACAGGTCTTGGTTCTCATATTTTCCCCTTATCCCTGCCCTCCCTTCACCCCCTCCTCCCTTCCCTATTTACAAATACTTTATTTCCATCATTTCATTTTCTAATTTTTTTCTTTTTCCCTTATTACCTTTCCCCTATACCTTTTTAGCCCTTTTCTTCCTATTTCACATTGTCAATTATATCATTAGGATCTTATGTACTATTATAGTTTTTCACACCAGAGAAACTCTTCAGTATTTACACATGTGTGACTTATTTATTTCACTTAGGAGTATATTCTCAATATGTGTCCATTTTCCTATTACTCTAATTTCTCATTCTTTATGACTGAGTAGTATTCCATTTTATAGAAAAACCACATCTTCTTTATCCAGTCTCCAACGGATGGGCAAATGGGCTGTTTCCAAGTGTTAGCTATTACAAACTGTGCCGCTATAAACATGGGTGCGCATATATCATGGTGATATGATTCTTTTAATTCTTTTGGAAAGATGCCCAGCAAAGGGATGGCTGGGTCAAATGGAAACTCTGATCCTAGTTCTGTGAGGTGTCCATATAAGGAAGGTTTTAAAGACACGGGGTGGTCTTAAAAGTGAAGGTGAGCTTCTCTAAGTGGGACGAAGTGAGGGAACCGAGTGAAAGTTGGAAAAGTGGTTCCACCACTGAGAAACAAGTGCTAATTCTTTTTCTTCATATTCTCTTCATAATTTTTTGATTGACACGTCATATGTCTACATATTTAGGAGGTACGATGCGGTGTTTGGGTTTGCATATACATTGAAAAAAACCAATCAAATCCGGATAGTTAGAATGTTACTGTATTGTAAGTAATATGAAGAAGGCCCTCTCTCCTGAGACATCCTTCCTTAGGAAATGTATTCACCCTACTATGCCATGGAACACCAAATCTTTCCTCCTATTGAGCTACAGTACTGTGCCCTTTGATAAGCCTCTCCCCTTCCCTTGCCCCATAGATTTTTTTTCAGACATAATTACTTTTCTATTCTTAACTTCTATTAGATCAGTGTTTGTTTGAGACTTAGCCTTTGAGGAAGATCTTACAGTACGTTTCTCTCTGGGCCTGAGTTATTTCACATAAAATAATATCCTGTAGGTCCATTCACAATTGTCACAGATGATTGGATTTAATGCCTTGATTTGCCTCAGTAGTATTCCACTGTGATGTGTACCTAATTTTCTTATCTATTCATCCACTGAAGGACATTTAATTCCATACTTTATTCATCATGAGTAGCGTTGTAATGAACAGGAGTCGAGAGCAGTGTCTCTTCCACATGATTTTATTGCCGTTGGATATATTTTCCGTGGTGGGTTTGCTGGATTTTATAATAATTCCATGTTTATTTTCCTTCTAAAATAAGCTTTCTAAATATTTACTCACAAATTCCGTTATTTTATCCAGTAACAAAGACTTCTGGGATTAGACCCAATCTGGGGTCATACTTTGAAAAGTACAGTTCTGGTGTTTCTTAGTTGATATCATTTCCTGACACCATCCTGCCTTATACATTCGATATTTGAGTCTTTGTAATGGTTTGTTACATCCTGGGTTCAATGATGCTTGGCTCCTTTGCAGCTGCTCTACTTCAGCCTAAATAATGCCTATTCCTAAAGCTTGACATGGTAGGCTTTTTCTAATCATTCCACTTTTAAAGATGATCTGCTCACTGAGGCTTTTTTCTGGTGACACAACAAATACTAACATTTCTAATCATTCACCATTACCCTAATTTAGCTTCCCCCAGAACTACTATTTAACATAATCTTGCTCACCGATTCATTTTTACATTTAATATGTTACCTTATATCTCTAATATAAATACTTCATTACAGTATGGACCTTATGTTTGTTTATGCAAGGCCTCGAATTCAATGGTTCGGTTCAATGTTGACCTCAAGGCGAAATTTGATTTGGTTGTCATCCAGTTAAGTTTGTGACCAGAATTGAGGGAAGAATTAAGCTCAGGAACTGAGGCACCACTGTATTTGAGTACAAAGGAGTAGGTTCCCAAGTTATTTAAAAATTAAGCAAGGAAACAAAAGTTAAAGGAAAATTTTATCCAGTAGCATCACTGTGTTCTGTGTATTACTTTAAAAAGTCATGTTTGATTCTAACAGGCTGTTGACCACCTGTGGACTTAGCACGGCAACGTTCGGAGAGCAAAGGAAGCTGTAGGCTCCTCTTAGTTTACTCTTCATTTCTGTTCTTCAGGGTTTTCCTTGTCCCACAGATCCATGGCTCTCTAACGACAGAAAACGTATCTTCTTCATCTCCCAGTCTATGTAATTTTTAAATACAAAAGCCACATTCTGAACAACCTATTGTATATTTTTATGTCCATGAAAGTTTAGCTATATTTCGCAGCCCTTACTTAACCTTATAGGGGCACAGAAGAATATAAGAGGCCAACATTGTAGGAACATTTCGATCATTGTGTGTTTACCTTAAGAGTTGGCTAAAAGAGCGATGGTGGGTGAAATCAACTTCATCTGTTACACTGCCTCAGAGCTACCTAGAGATACATTCATTTCAAAAAACTTGCTTAGCCAGGAACCAGCTGTACTCTGTCAGAAGCTGAGAGGACCCCTGTACTAGGTTCACTGCACTGAGCTCAGTTTTCCCATAAGCAGATGCTGATATTAGGATTATGTGGTTTCCCAAGAATACCACAAGGGGTTTGAGAACTAAGATGAAGAACAGAGAAGGATCCCCATGGAATGCGTCTGTGAGCAAGTTATTCCTGCAAATACTTGGAGCTCCACCTCACTCAGAAACTTAGGTGAGGGGGAAGCTGAGGTATTTAGACCCTAATTTCCATTCCTCATTGTTTAGGGCACTAACATCCCAAAACTTCTGATCTGCCTCATTTTTGTGCTTCAAGGAAGCTCTTGGTTAGAACCCTGCAGGTCAGTGTTTGGTGTAGAACAGCACTGGTGTAAACTGTATCAGGGAGAACAGATGCAGTTGGTCAGAGCTCCGCGGGGCCTGATGCAGTTCTGCCATCAATGATCTTTCAGACTGAAACCCAGTGCACAGCACACACTCAATGGTGAGTGGCCACAGTCGGTCTCCTGCACCACGGATGCCTTCCTGCCATCTCACCGACCTGTGTTCTGCTAGTGGTCAACATCTGGTTCTTTGAAACATCTGCCACCTGTTAGGGAACTTTTCTTCTCTCTCCCTCTCTCCCTCCTGCTTCTAAAATTGAACAATTTTTTTTTCTTTTTCAGGAATTTTAAGGGAAAAAAGTTTTAGTGATAATCACACATGTTCTAGATCTCTGGAATGCTGGCATAGAAGCCTACAGGGCTAGGTAGAATGTGGCATATGTATGCTTAGATTTTTAAAAATGATTTTGGTTATAGGAATAAATCCATTTTTTATGTCTGGGAAGTGGATCACCAATGTGATTTTGGCATGCTTTTTCATTTTAAAGAAATTTGATTTTGTCTGACATAACTCTACCCTATTTTCATTTCCAGACTCCTGATGAGGGATAAGAATAATTCCTGCTTATAGTAAGTACATAAATGGATACCAGCACATGATTTCAGGCATAGAACTGAGTTTTTCACTGTGAAAAATAGAATAAAGACTCAAAAATAAAGATAGTCACAAAGGATTATTATGAATGCTACTTTTAAAATTTGGGAGCAGTTAGATATGGTGAGATGTGAATGTTCTCTGATGTGTTTTAAGCCTCATAATATTAGCATTGTAGTATTAGGAAAACACTAGCATAGATTTGAAAATGTTTTCTAGAGACACTGTTTTATAGAGAAGTACAAACTAACATGGCCAGGCAATTATCATGTTCAAATTCTCTGAACCCTTGCAGCCAAAGGCACAAAGGTAGTATTACATAAAAGTTAGAGGAAAAATTTTAGCATATTTTGTATCAACATTAACAGCGCCCCTTTTGGAAAGTTGATCAATTTGATATTGTTAAAATCAAATGGTACAGTTATCGAGGATATTCCAGTTCAGTTCTCACGAGTGCCATCCGTTAATACTGGGATTGTGCACCTGAGCTGGGAAACCCGTTAAATTAGTCTCTTATTTTGGAAGGTAATTTTAAAGTCAGCGGTAATTACCTTCACTAGAACACTGAACTTTGGCCAGGCAGTTAAGGACAGAAGCTTAAGGTAGGGCGTTTTCCCACAAATGTTTTCAAAGCAATTCTTAGAAGAATGCATACAGCAACAATGCATTTGCACAGTGGCCTACACGATAGCCTCTCTTGTCTGTGCCTTTCCACGGTCATGATGACCTACAGCCTCTGGGATTGTGGAATCCTGCCAGCCTTTCGTGTAGGAGGTGGCCTGATCTACGCAGCAATAACAAGGCTTAGTCTAGGACCAAAACAAAGGAAAAGACGAAAACCACACACACACACACACACACATGCACAAAACCAAAGCAAACAATAAGCAAGAGTAACTTAATACTTCATAGCTTGAGGCAAGTGTCTGTGTTTGGGTGATCTTATGAATTGGATTCTATGCTTTTAATATAAAATGGGGTAGTCTTTGCCCCTTGAGACTTAACTATCCTCTATGAAACTGAACAGCCATGTGCTTTCTGTGGACCTCACCTATCCATCAAGTAACACTGAGTTTTCTTCTGTAGCAGGATTTGGTATGGGCTCTAAAGTGATTTAAAAACTAGTGCTATCCTCTGTAGCCCTTCTGCTTAGCTTTCTGTGGAAGCAAGTGAAAACCTAGATGATATAGGTGTGAGGCAAGAGAGGAGGGGGAGGCAGCAAAATATGCAAAACCACTGATCTCAGACACTCTCAGATGCTTCTCTAATAAAAGTTTCTCTGCTCGGGTCAACCTCCCTTCGAGCTAGGGTAGAAAAGGCATTATTTGAAGGTTCCTCTGAAGGAGCCAGCAGATCCATGTCTATATTTAGCCCCCTCCCCCTTTCCCCCCAAACTGACAGGAAGTCAGGTCCAAGCATCCCAATATTTGCAACTTTTTTCTCTTTCCACAAACCATCACTACTGCTGTGCAATATACTTGACCTTACTGTTTGTGTCCAAATTTTCACTTCACTCATTAATACTCATTAGCCAATGGGAACATTGAATTCATTTATCGAGACCTTGAAAATCTTCATGGATGAATGCAAGGGTAAGACTGCGAAATATATTTGTAACACTGATACAGAGTCCAGTGGTGATTGTACAGAGGTACATTAGGAATAGTCCTAAAAGGTGATGTCAAGCACATATCCTGGTTCATCTAAGAAATTCTCTCAATAGAATATCCTCAGGTATTGTCTCTTAATATTCTTTTACCCACAAATTTGCTGTTTGGGAAATAATAAAACTTTTTTAAATCTGTAGTCTTAATTATTAAAATATAGAGTCTCTGATTTGTCATCTTTGATGACAAATGTTCTGAGTGCTGAGGATCTATAAAAGAACCAGAGAGACGTGGTCCTTCATTCGTAGCACCTATCTTTTGATAAGGCGATGAGCATGGTAAGAAAACTTGATAAATAATTATATATGGAACTAATGGGGAGAAGCACCAAGACTTGTAGAAAATTTTAAGTAACAATCTGAGATCCTGGAAACCTAATGTGTGGCAGCTAGATGACAAATACTGTTATCAGTTGCCTTAATTTATTGCCTCTGGAATCATAGGAAACTGGTGCTGTCAGCATTCTGAGATCTTTCTTTTTGGAAAAAAGAATCATGCTCTCCCCTTCAGATATTAAACAAGTGAAAAAAATAACATTAACAGATTCTGAAAGTCTGAGAAAGACCCATGAGAAGTCCATGGTGCTTTGGGTTTATTCTTCCTGCAAAATCCTAATGTCTGCCCAATATTTAGTGAGGCTGTGCTTTCTGTTCATCCCCACAGAGAGGTCTGCAGTCCAGTGGATTCTGGCCCAGGGAAATCCTCAACTCTAATTAAGCTGCTTTGCAAGCCCACTTACCTGACACGAGCACACAGCAAGTGATAAAATGATGACACCACAATACTGCAACGAAACCTTTGTTTCAAAATCTAGTCTCTCACGTCTCTCTGTTGAAACTCTAGCCCACAAAAGCAGCACTGACAATCCTATCCCAGGCTCCAGCAGATGTCACAGGGGCAGTTGCTCAAACTGCAACCTCTCCCCAGCCTATTCTGTTCAAGGAAGTGGGAAACCACTCCAAGGAGTAACCTATTGTACCGACTCCGCCATATTGGCTCAGATCGACAGCATCTTTATTTTTTATTTTGCAGTCACCCGGCAGTAGACTGACAATTGTCAAGTTGACAACAAATGGGCAAGCTGTTACATTTTAAACATTGAAATTAAAAATAGTCTAAATTTCCTAGAGGATTTTTAAATTCTAGAATGGAAAGTAGAGTGAGCTTATAAAAGTTCTTATCATTTTCTTTTTAAAGAAAGACTTATAAGTATAGTAACAAGGATTTAGTGTGGCTGATTTAAAAAAACAAAAGATTTCAGCTATAGAAAGAATCTTGGAGATTATATGTCCATATAACAACTTTTGGAAGTGAATCTTAAGGGACAAAAATGTGAGAGACTTGCTCACAGGCAAACAGATAATTGGTCAAGAACCCCTGATCTGCCATTTTTGTCGTACAGAGCATCAACTATAAAACCATTGATAGAGCACTGATTTTAAAGGCAAAATAAGCAAAACCATGGTATTATATTGAATTGTAAAGTGAGCATTAGATGTATGTTTATCAATCACTCCATTTTGAAATATAATGAAAGCTAATGGACAACAAATGTAAAGAGGTCAAAGAATCTCATGGAGAAATGCAGAAAGGTAGATAAACGTGAAACACAGACTTGTCCGTGTAGAGTCAAAACCAAGAAGAATATGGTGAATAACCACTTGGGGAAGGAGGTGACCGGAGCACAGGGTGTTCACCATATTCTACATTGAGATGTGAGCACTGCGTGTTTGCAAAAGCATCAAACTGCACCCTTATTCACTATGCCTTTTTCCATCAAAACAAAGTAAATATCGTTTTTCTTTGTGGGGGGAAAGCTTTGCCTGAATTTGAAAAGTAAGGTGGAGTAGTAGGGATTTGTATGTGTGAAGCTTTACTATAGAACCACAGGGAAATAGTGTGAGAGACACCTTGGGGAATCTTGTGCCCTGGATTCAGCAGAGGCTCCGGCTCCTGTAACAAAGCATTTGACTTTCTTGCTGGTCATTATCTCTGAAAAGCAGATAATAGGATATTTACCTCCTTGAAGTGCAGCAGCTTATGTGGAAGTTCTGAGGAAACCCTTCCCACTAGAATGAATGAAAAGTAGAACAGTGAATAAATATGATCACTTTATAGCTAACAGGATGTCCTCCACTCTCCTTCAGCTTGATGTGCATAGAGAGACACTGATACGAACTCTCCTGCTCTGTAATTCCCCCATACTTCTCCATGTCTTCAAAATCACTTTACTATGTCAGGAGCAAATATAAATATCTTAAACCATCAAATGCTATGCAAACCTCGTTATTCAGAGGTTACTCATGAACTTGTATTTCTCTTTAGCATTTTCATCAAAGCCGTGTGTCTGGTGTTGAGGTAGTGATTTTGGCTAAAGACTATGATGGTTTTAAAATGTGATCTTGAACCTCCCTTGTTTCTTCCCATGGAGAAGTGAAGACTATTTTCCTATGCACTGACAATGAATGCATTTATTATCTTTAGGCCTATTTTGTGCAGTGTGAGGTCAAGCTGTAAGTGGTGAGGGAGCTTCTACTTTGTTGGAATCCTTGCAGTCCTGAGCTGCAGCACAGGAAGACGGCCCTGCCACTACCATATTGTGGAGAAACTGAGTCACATGAGGGTACCATGTGAAGCAGTCTTCAGACAATCGCAGCTCCACCCTCAATACATCATGTCTGTTTACAAACTTTGAAGAACACAGACAAGTCACCACCACTGGCTTCTTATCATGTGTTGGTCCCTTGGAATCCCTCAGCCTAATAATACAACTGTGTGCAGGTGATTTGTTCCATAGCTACTAAAGGAAGGAAAGAAAAGAAAGAAAGAAAAGAAAGAAAAGAAAGAAAAGAAAGGAAAGAAAGGAAAGAAAGGAAAGAAAGGAAAGAAAGGAAAGAAAGGAAAGGAAGGAAAGGAAGGAAAGGAAAGAAAGAAAAGAAAGAAAAGAAAGAAAGAAAAGAAAGAAAAGACAGAAAAGAAAGAAAAGAAAGAAAGAAAAGAAAGAAAAGACAGAAAAGAAAGAAAAGAAAGAAAGAAAAGAAAGAAAAGACAGAAAAGAAAGAAAAGAAAGAAAGAAAAGAAAGAAAAGACAGAAAAGAAAGAAAAGAAAGAAAGAAAAGAAAGAAAAGACAGAAAAGAAAGAAAAGAAAGAAAGAAAAGAAAGAAAAGACAGAAAAGAAAGAAAAGAAAGAAAAGAAAGAAAAGAAAGAAAAGAAAGAAAAGAAAGAAAGAAAAGCATTGAGGAAATCTAAAAATCAAAATCGAATGCCATTCTGCTAAGAGACCAACTCCTTGGTATGCGAGACAATGATCCTGTCAGGTGTGGTTGTGCAGACCTATAATCTGTGAAATGAGGAAGAGGTTTCAGCCCAGCCTGGGCTACATGGCAAGAACCTATCACAGAACAAGACAAAAGTAGAAACTGGAAGAAGAAAGTGAGCCAGTGTCACCCGGAATGTGAAATGAAGAAGTCACAGGGGTTTGGTAGTAGAGATACGAATCCTGATGTCACATATAATGATGGTTTTGATTCTTAGTTGCATCTTTCGCCGGGCGAGGAATTCGGACATCTTCCCTGGTATAATCTTTGTTTTCTTGTATGGTGGATCAAACTCAAGACTTTGCACTTGTGAGGCAGTCGGCAGCACTACTGAGTCTCAAAGTTGTGATAAAAATGATGAAAATGCTTATTAATTGCTTTCTAAAATATACATTGCAGAAGTAGTATCTGTTAAAAGGTATGCTTTCTCCTTGGTAGAGATTACATTATGCTGATCTCATTGGCAATTTTTTTTCTTCTAGTCTAGTTAATAAAACCAATGAGCACAGGGATTTCTACTGTGCATTATTGAGAGGCGCCATCCTCTGACTATGAGAACATAAGGCATCACTCACAGTCCATTCAGAGTCTGCTTTTGTGACATTACTTGAGTTGCAAAATCAGCACAGTTTCTGATTTGAGGAAACAGCAAATGGAGATCAGAAGACTAGTGCACCATGCACTTGTGACCAGGATATTTCTCAGCTGCTTTACTTTTTCACTCCAAGGGAATAATATTTGTACAGTATGGTGCTGAACAGAAAAAATGGTGTTTCATAATTGTTAGAAACTGTATCTTATGCCCGAATAGCTTAAAACCAGGAAGTTTGAGTTACCCAAGCTGAAAGTGAAAATTCTCAAGGGGATAACTAATAGAACCCCTAAATTTTCCTGATCCCAGGAGCCTTCCTCTTCAAATCCATCCCCTAAAGATGAAGTCAACACCATAATCAGGTCAGTATTTCCTTATTTGGTGTCACTGTAAAATGGGATAATATTCCTCACCAGGAAAACTTTTAACTAATGTAAATATTGGGAGCTCACAGTGCAAGGGAAGAGTTAGGTGACTACTGTAATGCTGAAGTAGCTCTGGCAGTGGGTGGAGGCTCAGCTCAATTATATATAATGGAATTCATTCAGCGTATCACATTAAACTTGCTCTTGTATCGTCCTAGTCCTATTTTTTTCCCTCCCAACACTATTGTATTTTCCTACATCATGTTGAAGTCTCCTCCCTGTGTGGATGCCGGTTTACATCCCCTCCACCCTATGCCTCTTAACAGGCTCCTTGGTGCAGCTGGAATTAATGCTTCCTGTCATTTTAAATAATGTGACATTGAAATACAATTTTTTAATGTGCTGGCATTTAACATGCCACAATATTTCAGTTATTTTACATTCATTTGGGTGCGCTAGTGTTATTACAGCTGTTATGAAATTCTGACAAAGAGGTGCATTTCTTTCTTCTGTTCCACCATAATTGCTTTCTGCTGCACCTCTGAACCGTAACCATGGCGATCTACAACATTCATCAGAGGACCTCTTGTTATTTCCCTGGTGTGAATGAAAAACAAAGTGATATAAATACTAGAAGTTTTTAAGAGGCAGCTTTTTTTTCTTTCGCCTGTTCACTTTCCTTCTATAATTTTTTCTTGTTTTTCTTGAATTTTTTTTTCTAATATGGAAGATGTGTTGAGAGGAAATACAATTGCATGGCTTTTGATTTTCCCTTATTTTTTAAAGGAGAACTTCTGTGTACAGGGTCTTTCTGTAGAAAGTATCGAGAGAGATCTTGTCAGTGCCTTCAGGAAGAAGGAACTGTTGTCACCAAGGAAAAAAGGAAATGAAATGTTTAATATTTGCTAAATTTGACTTCTTACAAGCAAGTCCTTGTTTGAGCCACTGAATGTAGAATATCATTACCATGTTGAAACCATCTTGTTGATATTTTGACTTGCTCTTCCTTTTGTGTGAGGAGGCTGAAATGGCCATGCCCGGGTTAGACTTTAAATTGCCATCTTTCTGGCAATTTAAGAGGATGTTGGGAGGTCACCATTCACCTCTCTCTGTACTCTCTCCAACTCTTTAGAACTTATGTTTTCCCCCCCTTTTCTTATCATGCAGGACTTGAAGTAGCAGATAAAGTTAACTAGGGATTTCCAGCAGGTATTCCATCTGATAACATAGTGTAGTAAACAGGTAGGTTCCTGCTGTAGTGCTATGCTAAGACCAGCAACAAACAGCTCCACTGGAACATCAGTTAATTGCCAAATCTGCTTCTTTGCTAGTGATTTGAAGGTAACAGAATGTCTACTTTTAATTCTTTGGAATATTATTCATAAAGTTTTCCACAGCTAACTTCCAAAACGTTTACCACTTTCTCTCTTCCTTGATTTATTCAGTATTTCCCTTTGGACATCTAAAACTATGAATTATTTAACACTTTTTTATGAAGA